AAGTCAATTGTTTAAGCAAGCTTTTAGTATGAGGAAATACGTAAGCACAGGTAGGTCAGAATTGTGAAGTTAGATTCCTGCACCCGTTTTACACAATTCCTTCCATTCCTCCGGTTTTGCATCCAGAGAGAAACTTGGAATGTTCTTGCTGGCCCTCCCCTCTGGCCAGACAGATTCCCAGGCTAAGATTGGCTGAGACTCTGGCAGCTGGGACAGGGATAAACATTTGTAACTGTCTGTTATTTATAAGTTGGAAGCTGTTTATGTTAATAAGATTTCTAAAATTCCACCACTACATTTGTGACAAATAACACAAACACCAAGTTAATGCCTAAAGCCAAATCAAGAAGTGAAACATGTCCTTTTTTTGAGCTATTTTACTCTTTGCTTGTTTTCACTGTTTAGAAAACATCTGGGAAGGGGTGGAATGGGAAGCTGTATGTCTTTGGTGGTCCTGAGGATGGCACTCAGCATCTGGGCAGGCTGGGCTAGCACTCTGCCACTGAGCTCCATCACCACTCCTGAAAGGGGTATTTTGCTTATTTATTTGTTTTATTTTTTTAGGCAGGACTCACTACGTAGCACTGCTAGCCTGCAACTCTCTGTTGAAGACAAACAATCAGACATCTGCCTGCTTCTGTGTCTTCAGTGTTAGGATTAAAAGCTTGTCCTGCCATGCCCAGCCTGAAAGAGATTCCTGGTGATTGCTTACTTAAAGGTTTACAAGCACGTAATTTGGGAAGTCACAAATACTGTGATGTCTCTATGTCCTCTGAGCTTTGTAAAAGTGACTTAGAAATAATGAAAGCAAGGTCTAAAATTATTCAGTATCTATGGAAGTTTGTGCATGCACATAAATGAACAAGTAGCTATATTAACACGTGACTATAAACACAAATACATATGTATCTATGCCTGTACATAGATACACATACCTACATATTTACATAGTTGGATTTTGTTTAAAATCTACATACTTGGTCACTCAATTGACATGCTTATGCTAATATTTTAAAATTTGCAGTGTGTGTGTGTGTGTGTGTGTGTGTGTGTGTGTGTGTGTGTGTGTAAAAATGCCACAGTGTTTATGTAGCGATCAGAGGAAAACTTGTGGGAATCATTTCTCTCCTTGCACCATGTGGGGTCTCGGGAGACACACACCAAGTTATCAGGGTCAGCAGAGTCTTTATCCCTGAGCCTTCTCTCTGGTCCAAGAAGATTATTTTTTATTTTCCCAGAGTAGAATATTAACAATTTGCTCCTGGACACAGGCGATCAAAAACAGCTAATATGATTAGCACTGCTGAAACCAAGAGCAAGAGCGTTCATCGTGGGGCAGGCAGCTCCTGGAACCTACCACCTTACCCAGCTTAACCTTTCAAAGGATGCATTCCTTACTACTGATTGCTCACGGCCTGATTTCAGAGCTAAGTCAACCAGGGCCTTGACAAAGCCTGTTTCGACTACAGGCTTAGCAGCAGTGACTATGTATAACCCACATTATTCTGAATATCTAGAATCATCCTAATCTAAAGTGCAAAATATCCCGAGGTAGGAGGAAGGTCAGGTTTCCAGGTGATTAGGATGAGAGGGACAACTTGACAGATTTGAAGACTATGTAGTCTTTTTCCTGCTAGTACTTATTAGGGGAAAGGAGTCGCCTCCTCAGTGATGGAAGCTACACTAACGAGTTTAGGAAAATGACTGGTAGGCAAAAATGTATACAGGAGGAATGGGAAGTGGAAGGAGGCATGCCCTGAAAAATCCAAGTACGGACCGAACCAATGGGAAAAAGAATCTAGAGCCAGTGTTTCTCAACATGTGGGTCATGACCCCATAGAGGTCACAGGTCGGATATTTACATTACGATTCATAAAAGTAGCAAAACTGCAGTTATGAAGTAGCAACAAAGCATTTTTATGGCTGGGGGTCACCACAGCATGAGGAACTATGTTACAGGGTCCCGGCATTAGGAAGGGTGAGAAGTGCTGCTGTAGAGTCAATAAGGCTGAGTCTCAGGTCTACATTTGTCACTCACAAGCTGTATGACCCAGGACGTGGTTCTGACCTTTCTCCTCGTCTACATAATGAGTGTAACAGAGCCCAGCCCCTGGGTGGTCTGTGAGCCATTGATATGTTATGTTTCCGGCACAGCAGCAACAGTAGCTGCAGATTTTACTAGAGGGCCATAATATGGAAGAAAAATTCTGGTCCACCCTGGTCTATCTTCTCCAGTCTATATGGACTTGGAACTTTTTATATTCGGGACTGTTCTTCTGGGCAAACTGTCATATGATGGAATAAACAACATTCTCATCAAAGACACTTAAACAAGCAGGGTTCTGAATAGACATGGGGTCCTTTCAGGTTATCTCTCAGTGGTCAAACCCCTGTGTGCATGTGGGTTCAGTACTACCCAATACATACATACATACATACGTGTGTGTGTGTGTGTGTGTGTGTTAATGGGGTAATGGAGAATAAAGCTTGAACTTTTACCTAATACACTAACATTTATAATGTGAGCAAAACAACTTAGTGAGGAAGATGAGATTTGGTTCCTCTTAATTAACCCCCTTTGTAGAAGCAAGTTTAAGCTTAGTTTCTCCAGTGACTAGAAATGTGGCCGAAGAGGTTCGAACATCCCCTCCAAAACTCGTGTTGAAGCTTGTCATCATACACGGGGGCAGAGCCTTCGAGAGCTGAGCGGGTCCCAAGGGCCTCTGGAGCGGTTGATGGCTTCTTCATGGTGGCGGATTGGTTACCACAGAACTGATTACACTGTGCAAGTGCCTTCGTGCTCACTCCCCCTCCTCCCTACCCCTCCTCCCCCCACCCCTTTCTTCCTTCTCTTCTTTTCTCCATCCTTCCCTCCTCAGAATGCTTTGCCACAGGGCACTAGGCCCCTCCCTCACTAGCTTCCAGCACCTTGATATTGGACGCCCAGCCTCTGACACTGTCAGAAATGAACTGCTTCTCTTCGTAAATTATCCAGCCTACGGCATTCTACCGCAATATAGAATGGACTAGGCTTAAAAACAAATTCACTTACATTTTGAAACCTCCATTTTCCTTCTACAATAATGTCATGCTCATCTTCCAGGGCTAT